TGTACTGAATAAAGATCCTTCTGATTGTTAAATGGTTTCTGATGTTGTACCTGAATTCTAAGTCTAAATCTTGTAGCCTAACACTCCCCACACATGCTACCTTGGTAAGAGTGTGCATCTCTATATTGAGTTGCTAATGTGTTTTGTCCCAGATGCCAACTAAGGGTTTGGAATCTCTCCCTTAGGCAAGGCAGGGACTAGTGAAAAGAGGTTCTGGTGGCACATTGTTCTGAAAACCTGAGAGGGTATAGCCTACCTCTGGGTTTGTTGTTTAATGTACTGAAAAAGTACAGGGTTCCCTCCCATTCCTGGACTGGCCTGAGTAGGGTAAATCCTGTACAAACTCAAACTTTGTTCTGCTGCTTCAGACCAACATGGCTACTCACCTGAATCTACCAACCTATCAAAGTAAGGGATATTTATTAATCTTTGGGGCAACAGAGGTGCATGGATAAAGGAACATCACTGAGGTGAGATCCATTTTTATTCAATGGGGACCAAGTTGCATTGAGCTATATCAGATTTGCATCTGGGTAACTAACTAACATGCAGGTGCAGCATCTTGGCAGCTGAACTTGGGCTTTTTCTTAGTCACCAACTGCCCATGATGTGATCATGAACTGGAGGGGAATTATGCATGCTTTTCATAAAAACATTTTCAGAGTTGAAGAATTGTGGGAAATGTGTCAGATACCCAGTTTAATCTGGAAGTGTGCCAATAACGAAGCTGCCCACTTCTGTCTAAGCACCAGGCCCCAGTGTTGATACCAGGGTTGCGAGTTACTGGTTGGGAACGTCCTGCAGATTTGTGGGTAGAGCCTGGAGAGGACCTCGGCTCCAAAGCAGCCATTTTCTCCAGGGGAATGGATTTCTGTAGAGTAGAGATCAGTTGTAAGAGCAGGAGATCTCTGGGCCTCACATAGAGGTTGGCAACCTTAGTTGATACAGCAGGGGTCCCTAACCTTTTTGAGCCTATGGGCACCTTTGGAATCCTGACACAGGGTGGTGGACACAACCACAAAATGGCTGCCACAGCAGGCGGAGCTAGCCATTCAGAGGAAGCCCGAGTGCAGGGAAGAAGAAGAGTAACTATGGAACTCGGGGGCGAAGTGGGAACTTAGACGACTAAAGTGAGTTTGGCGGCGTTCTCATGACAAAGCTGCAAGAACATCTTATAGGACGTTTATGAAATGCTGTGAGGTAGCAGTGAAAGCTGCTAAAAAGGAATTTTGTACAGCCTCCATCACATCCGCTAGCTCTCTCCCAGCACAATTGTTTATGAGATAGAACTAACATGCAGGTGCAGCATCTTGGCAGCTGAACTTGGGCTTTTTCTTAGTCACCAACTGCCCATGATGTGATCATGAACTGGAGGGGAACTTTTCATAAAAACATTTTGAGAGTTGAAGAATTGGGGAAAATGTGTCAGATACCCAGTTTAATCTGGAAGTGTGCCAATAACGAAGCTGCCCACTTCTGTCTAAGCACCAGGCCCCAGTGTTGATACCAGGGTTGCGAGTTACTGGTTGGGAACGTCCTGCAGATTTGTGGGTAGAGCCTGGAGAGGACCTCGGCTCCAAAGCAGCCATTTTCTCCAGGGGAATGGATTTCTGTAGAGTAGAGATCAGTTGTAATAGCAGGAGATCTCTGGGCCTCATGTAGAGGTTGGCAACCTTAGTTGATACAGCAGGGGTCCC